CTGTATTCCTTTCGTAATCACAACCTCCTTCGTGAAGGAGTCTTCTTCACGGCTGCTGGCAAGGTTTTCTCGGACAAGGGCTACTGCAGTTAGAAGGTCAAGGGTAAGCACTACCTCTATGTTTGCGGAGCCTGCTAGCTTATCTGCTCTTTCATTTCCCTTGACTCCTGCAGGTCAGGGGCAGAAGATCCACTGCAAGCGTCTGATTTTGCCGTCTTGGATTGTCTTTAACCGATCTGCATAGAGGCTGCCGGTCAAGATTTTATCCAGAGTACTCATTGAGTCTGTAACAAAGGTAGCCTTCAGGTATCCATTCGTGCAAAGCCTTTTCAGAACCTTAGTGATAGCCTTGATCTCCATGCACATGCTTGATGTAGTGGGGCCCGTTGCCCCAGATGCCTCCTGGACTGTTACTCCTTGGTAAGAAGCCTTGTAAGCCAAGCCTGATTTGATCCCACGCTGAACAGAGCCATTAGTAAAGATAACGGTTTCATCCTCTCTGCAGTTCTCTTTAATTAGAGTCTGGATTTTAGCTTGTGTTGCTCCTTCAGACCATTCACGACATTCACGCCCTAATGTAGCAGTCACCTGAGTGAATCCATCTTTCACCTTGTCCGCAAGCTCTACCCATGTCTTCCCTCGTCCGATTGCCCCCACATTGAGAGCACACTCTTCAATGGTGTAACAATATTTTGTCTGTCAATGTCTGACGATGACCAATACATCATTCGTTTTAAAAAAACCCCGTAGAAATAGGAGAATTAAATGTTAAGATGATTTCTGCTATAGTCCGGACAACACCAAATGGACAACTTGTCAACCTCGTTACAGAGAAACTAAGAGGCGAATTGCCCTCATTTTTTGGCATGTTCCTTTGAATTAAAAAAAAACAACTAAAAAGACTCGATTTTCGAGGATATACAATAAATATAAAGAGGAATTTTCTATATAATCATTAGTATTTAATTACAGTCTGCGCGGTGATTTTTTATTAGGACAAAAACGGTGGTTGAGTATTATACGGGGTGCCCACTTCGGAGGGGATCGGCCGATCTTGGTCCGATCGAAGATCGCCGAGGACCTTTTCAGCTTGCGCAAAATTAATGATTTCGCGTGTAAGCACTCCAATATTTGTCCTATTCGATACACAAGTCACAAAATAAAATAAAAGTAAAGAGCACGCAACTTTTACCGTACCGGTATACCCCTCATGTCTTAAAACCTCAAAGAGATCTTGGCATGAGGATCTATGACCACTATGATCATCTAAGTTAAAGGTATGAAAATCCATTCGCTCTTCATCAGCTGTTAAACACATACACGTACACACACACACACACACACACACACACACACACACACACACACACACACACACACACACACACACACACACACACACACACACACACACACACACACACACAGACATAAGTCTGAATCCCGCATGAAGAAGTCTTTACTTCATAAAGTAGGCCTATAATATTTCAGGTTTTCTTTTGGGACGCTGTCCAAGAGCCTGCCTTCTTATAAAAATCCGTTGTGTTGATGGGAATGCTAATTTAACTGACTGCACTGCAGTCGCAAGAGAGAGAGAGAGACAGACAGAGAGAGAGAGAGAGAGAGAGAGAGAGAGAGAGAGAGAGAGAGAGAGAGAGAGAGAGAGAGAGAGAGAGAGAGAGAGAGAGAGAGAGAGAGAGAGAGAGAGAGAGAGAGAGAGCCGGGGGGGGGGGGGGGTTGGGAGGGGGGATACGAAAGAAATTTAATTAAAAATTAAAAGAGTAAAAGACAACTTTGTTGAAGGCAACTGGAAGTAGTGGAAGGGGTATGATAGGCCTACCTAACCCTACAAAATGAGCGAAACGCTGAACGAACAGTTCGAACAGTGTCATGGAACTCTTTCGTGAATAGAGAAAGATAAACTACTGATGGTCACACCAAATCAATCCGCTTAGGTCTATCTCATATTGCCTAACTTAAAAGCCTTTTTAGTAAGATATTAAATCGGCAAAATTGATGTAATATTGTTTTTTTTCACTTTTGACTGGAGATATTTGAAAATGTATTTTAAAAAGTTACATATATTGTTGCACTATTTGTTCTTTTCCATTGCCGAAGTATTTCCGCCTTGGCTGTACGTCGGCCTTTTATCGTGTGGCCGTCGAGGTAAGTGGCTGGAGTCCATGTGGCTGCGTAGAAAATGTGAAAATAATTTACTTTTCATGATACTAATCGTATTCTTGCATATTTACAATTGTTACATTTTAGTGTTTATTTTGATTATGTGTGGTTGAATTGGTGGACGGAATATTCTGTTAATTTTAGAGGTTCTAGATTAGTTGGGTTGGTGTTGGATTGCCCACTATCCTATCTTATTCCTATACTCTGCCTTTGCATGACCATGTGGTATGGCCTGCCGTTGGGGTAGCCTTGTGGGCCCTGCTTTCGTACTCGTGATGCTAGATCTAGAAATTTAGCTGTCCTGATAGAATTCTAGACGATGTTGCCGTGAATTCTTCGAAGGAAGTGGCTATTCTCTCCCGGGGTGAGAAAAAAATACGATCTAATCTAGATTTTTAGGCTAGATCTAGAATCTAGATTCTAGATTAGATCTAGATCTACCTCTGACTACCTCTCGCCGTGGGTGAGACTTGCCAGCGTAGGCTATTCTCACCCGGTGTGAAACAAGACCTGTTTTTCCTCATTTTGGAATAGATTCTACTGTCTATCGGTGTGGATGATCAAATTGATAAAGGCCACCTCTATTCTCACCCGGAGTGAGAATAGTGCAGGCGAGTCTTGTGGCTATTCTCACCTGGTGCGCGTTCACCCTAAACCACAGAATTCGGCGCTTTTTCGGTAGTTCCCACCCCCCTTATTTGATAGAGCCTGACCTACATCTAGATCTAGATTTCTAGATCTAGATCTTTCTAGATCTAGATCTATATACGTTTGATTAGCGGCAAGCTAAGATGTCAAACCTAACAACTGCAAAACATTAAATTGTGGTAAAATTCATGGGGGCATGCCCCCCTGAAACCCCCCACCTTGTTTTTATTAGGTCAGGGGGGCAAGCCCCCCTGAAATCCCCCTACTCTTGGGGCCAAAACCGGCGAATAACAAATGCGGGGTGGGAACTAGATCTACCGAAAAAGCGCCCAGAATTCTACACTACTGTGATAACAGAAAAATTGTAGATTTCTGTGTCGTGAACAAACGTTCCATTACTACTGTAGCCTACTGAAAGCGTACAATTTTGTCTGTGGGCAGTGGAGAGAGAGAGAAAGAGAGAGGAGTAGCGCGAGAATTTCCGGGCAAAACAAAATGGCGACCCGCGTAGTTCGGCTCGGTTCGAAAAGTTAAATAGCCGTAGCATCTTTGTAGACAACCAAATTAATTTACTTTTGTGTTTTAACATCATTTTTTAACTTTGTGTTGGTCAATTTGATCGTCCACACCGATAGTCAGTATTCAGAAAGAGAGAGGAGGGGAGGAGTTGATCTTGCGAGAACTTCCGGGTGGGTGAGAATAGCCACTTTCATTGATAAAAGCCAAGAAAAAATTACGTTATAGCACAATAAATAGTAAGCTAATTTGCTACTGGCTATTTCACTTTTCGAATCGAGCCGAACTATGGGGTCGCCATTTTGGAAGGACTTCCGTAACGAGCGACCACTCCAATGTACGCAATAAAGAAGGGACTTTTGAGTGGGTATGTAAAAGATAGGGTTTAGTATTTGGTTGGGCAATAACAGTAAACTTCGTTTGTGTTAGGCTACTTTGTATTCCTCTTGCCTTCCTTTGTCTCTTCACCTGGAATGGAAATTATTAGTGACATGTTAACATCATAAGGCAAACACAATAATATGACATGATTAGAAAATCAGTGGCGTGGCTGGGAATCAAACCTGTGAGTGAGGGAAATAAACATGGGAAGGACTTCCGTAACGAGCGACCACCCCATCAAACACAATAAAGAAAAGGCCTAGACCTACCCCTATCCCTGCCCCAAGCCCTCAATTCTACTCTGTCTCATAGTGGTCGCTCGTTACGGAAGTCCTCCCTAAACAGCGCTGCCGGAGAGCGGAAGTTGATAAAGTATGCGGGGTCAACAATGGCTGCGCCCTGAGTAAATTCTACTAATCCCCGACTCAGATCTTCAAATCGTTGAACGGCCTAAAACTGCGCAAAGGACCGTAATTTTGTCATGTCCGGGTGGTATAACAGTGGCTCTCGGTCTCCCATAAGAATTGTGGTGCTGAACAAGTACAATCTTGAATAAATAGTGGTCGCTCGTTACGGAAGTCCTCCCGCCATTTTGTTTTGACCAGAAGTTCTCGCAAGATCTACTCGTCCCCAGTTCTCACAAGATCTACTCGTCCCCAGTTCTCGCAAGATCTACTCGTCCCCCCTCTCTCTCTCTCTCTCTCTCTCTCTCTCTCTCTCTCTCCCTCCCTCTCTTTCTGAATACTGTATCGTTGTGGACGATCAAAATGACCAAACGGATCCGTTGACCTAAATAAAGTTAAAAAATGATGTTAAAAAAACAAAAAACTAGATCTAGAATCTAGAGTACATCCTGTGGTGCGATATACAGTAAGCGATAATCTACCTAGATCTAGATCTAAACCCTAACCGTAGCCGTAACTCTTCAATCTTGTATAGGCCAAGTTTGCCCAGTAGACCTTGTCACAGTGAAGTAGGCCTTAAGTGCCTTTCCTCTGCAGGACTCCTTCTGGTGAGCGGATAGCTTGATCTAGATTCTAGATCTAGAGAATAACTTTTTTTGGTTTATTTACGAATCGAGTGGCCTGCGTGTGTGACAGTGTGTGTGTGTGCTAATCAGGTTGGTTCTACGTTCGGCCGCATGTCGCACACACACTCTACCAGGTCTGGGTGCTGAAACTTTGAGATCATGTAAAATCTTACAATTGCCGAAATATCCCACAAATACGCTCTCTGGGGGCATACGGTTGGCAGCTCTGCAAATAGCCTAAATATTATACCTGTTTACCTATTTCAGGTGAAAATCCACAATGCCAGGTGGAATCCCAAATATCCAAGGCAAGACCTATACCACTCCACGACGTCCTTTTGAGAAGGAACGTCTTGACCAGGAGTTGAAACTCATTGGTGAATATGGACTGAGAAACAAACGTGAAGTCTGGAGAGTCAAGTATGCTTTGGGTAAAATCCGTAAAGCTGCCAGAGATCTGCTAACCCTGGATGAGAAGGACCAGAAGCGACTTTTTGAGGGTATGTTGGTTTTTACTTGAAGTTTGATAAGTGGGAGCTCTGGTGTGGTTTGCTTTTGTTCCTGTCGAACATCTATCGTCCTTATCTCTCCTTTTTTGTGTTACTTTCTCGTAACATCTACTTTAATCTTATGCACTTACATTATGACCTTATTGTGTTGCAAGTGCTGGGAACAGCTTGATTTTGTCAATGTTTGTTGTTTTGGTATTACTATTATTTTACTTTCACATCCGTCTTATCTCAAGTTCAGATATTTTCTAATCTATTTTATGTTAATTTTGACTTCATATCCATTGCAAATAATTATTTTTTGTTGAGATGTTTGAAGTTTTTGACACAAAAGGCCTGAAATTGCATAGTATTTTGCATATTTTAAAAAATGACAATATATAGCCTATCCATTCTTGTATGATAATTGTAGTGTGGTTTGCAGGGATATTGAACTAATGTGCCTTTGTTCAAAATATTTGGTCCTAATTTCACGTTCAGCGTCTTTTCAGAAAGTTGTTTGTCATGATTGGGCATTTGTCTGTGTGTCGCAAAAAGTTTAACATTTTGAAATAATACTTGTACGTTCTTTCAGGTAATGCCCTTTTGCGTCGTCTTGTACGTATTGGTGTGTTGGATGAAGGCAAAATGAAGCTTGATTACGTTCTGGGTCTGAGACTGGAGGACTTTTTGGAGCGCCGACTGCAGACGCAGGTTTTCAAGTTGGGTCTGGCTAAGAGCATTCACCATGCCCGTGTGCTCATCAGACAGAGACACATCAAGTAAGTCATTTGTCATTAACCCTTTGAGAGGCGAATTAATTTGCTCTGTCCAGTCCCATAGAGGCAAATTAATTTGAGAACTTCATGAAAATGTCTTGGGTCCCGAGAAATGCTTTGTAACTTCATTTCTTAAGATATAGAAATGTAACCAAAGATCTTTGAATTGGAAATTTAATTAAGAAAAAACATGGGATAACAATTTTCAGAAGAATTTCTTGCCATAGATTTTATTTGTTTGCTTGTCTGAGTGTCTTTGTGTGTGTCTTGACATGTCAAATTTCTCCTTGTGAGGCTGATACTTTAAAAGAGCTAGGGAAACAGAATGCTACCGTACTCTTTGTGCATTGAAATGCAGTGTTTCCCCTTGATTCACCGATATCCCAATAAAATGTGTTGAACAGGTTGCAAACATTCATATTTGCTACCATTTCACATTCGGTTACTGCCTTAATATTCATTTTGCAATCCAAGTCTGGGTCTGAACTTTAGTTTGGGGCGGGAAATGCTAGGGATATCTTCCTTGAAAAGAGTTAAACTTAGTTTGAACCATTTCCTGTGGTTCCGTACACAAAATCGGGTCTCAGGTGCCAGGTTCATGATTGCAACTTGTCGCGATAACCTCACGGGGGGGGGGGGGGGGGAGGAGATCAGGCTGATTTTGGATGGGGAATTGTAATTGTTGCAAATTACTTGGTGCTAATCTCTCAGAAGGTCCCTCGACTGTCTGTTTGGGTAGTAGGAAAAGTTGTGTTTCTTGACATTAGTTTTGATTTTCATCCTCTGCAGCTTGAGCCAAGAATGAGCCTTTTGTGGGTTGTAAGTACAAAAATAGATGATGGCACCCATGTGTCCACGTTGATGTCCGTACTGGAGAGCGGCTGTGCGCTAACAGGCCACGGTGCTTTATGATGGTTGGATGATGTAAAACATTGATAGGCCACTGAGGTTATCAAAATCTCATGTCTATCGATAGAATCATAATGATCTTACAAAGTTGCTGGATGGTGTAGAACATTGATAGGCCACTGAGATTATTGAAATCTCATGTCTATTGATAGACCCAATGTTTTCCCTTGCTGGGAGCAGCACAGGGTAAAGTATACAGACTTCTCTACTGCTGTCTACCGTTACAATCACAATAAGGCTACAGTACACCTCAACGTAAGACTTTTGCAAAACATCCAATATATTTCGTGTCACTATTCTTGTCTCTATTCTAAAGTACACTTTCCTCAAGCCCCGGTTGCACGCAACGATAAATTTTTTTAAAAGAACTGGACGGTCTATCGATCATGAGACAAATCATCAGGTGTAACCTCAAAGTTTGGACAATGGCTTGGAGACTCAGTCGAAAAATCAAGCGCTGTTTAATATTTTCAGTGCGATCACGGTCAGATCGAGGTGGGGGGCACTGTGACGTAGAATCACTTTATAATTTGAGGCAGCGCGGGATTAAACACAGGGTTAAAAGATTTTAGTATAGTTATCCCAGGTAAGAACTGATTTTATATTCGGAATCAGCATCTCAAAATAATCTGGGTTGCTCGGGGAGAACCTGAATTGATGCAGGTTTTAAACAAATTTTTTTAAAACCATTTTTATTAGTTGATTGTCAATGATGAAGTTGCGTATCAAGGTCACCCGGTGCGTTGCACATCTGCAGTCAGTCAATGACTAGGAATCTCCCTGATCGAAAGAAAACTAGACGATAGATTGGAACGCCTAATCAGACTGCACAGCTCGATAAAACGGACAGTTCTAGCATACGACGAATCTGGCAGTTTATCGTTGCGCATAACTGGGGCTATAGCTCGACGTTCGCGTGCCTCACTGTCCGGCTTCTTGGCCACTTTGTATATTTTATGCTAAAATGCAGGTGTGCTGTAGCATAGTTGTTTGTATATTGTTTCATTCTTGTTCTCCTACCTGTTTGACTTCAAACTTATGCTTGGTTTATCTTGTGGTCTGCGAGGTATGTTTGGCTGCCCTATCTGATGTGTTGATTTGGTTTGGGACTGTATTTAGGATTGAAAGGGGGGTATCATTTGTTGTCAGTTCTTTTTTTGATGGTTTTGAAAATAATCAGTTGGAATTATTCTTTTGGTTTCTGAAAAAAGGAAGTTATTTGAGCTGGAGTGATTGTTTCAATCACTGAATAACTGACCCGTTCTGTTTGTTTCAGGGTGCGCAAACAAGTGGTGAACATCCCCAGCTATGTTGTGCGTCTGGACTCTCAGAAACACATCGACTTCTCACTGAGGTCACCATACGGTGGCGGCCGCCCAGGTATGTTCTTAATAATTTTCATGTGTGTCATGATGCAGTGGAATCAGGCGTCAAGTGAAAGTATATGGAGCGATTTGTGTCATCTGATGTTGTGAACATGGGGGTTTGGTGGGGGAATATCAGGTGCTTCTGAAAAAAGACCATTTACGGCTCAACGGATGATAAAAGGCATATATATAGAACCATATATTTTCTCAAACCTGATAGAATGAGCTGTGCAAAAATGAGTGATCAAATACAAGCAAAACGCGATGAAGTCAACAATTAGTACATTAGCACAGCAAATCAATTGATAACAGATAGCGTGTAGTCGTTCAGCTTGATCGCGTCACTATCGATCGATATCTGGACCAAGAGACGTTCAACGGGGTCAAGATAAATTGCAAAGTCATGGGTCACTATTTATAACTTTCACCTGCAATGTTGTCCAAGGAGTACTGAAATTTTCCATTGATATGGGTCAGGGCCTGCACCCTTTATATATAGGGGCTGCGCACTTCCAGGTTTTAAAGCCTGTCCATTTGCCTTACTTTTAATGGGAAAAAAAATTCCCAAACATGCAGAACATTCTACTTTCATTATTTTGACAAGCGCCTGATTTCATCATGCTGCTTCATGTCTTTTCAAAGATGTTGCAAGTTTAGCTCTGGAACTTTGGCGTATTCAAGCATTACTGCATCTCGACTCTCCACATCCTCAAGGCAGATCATCTACAACTCATACCATTTTCCCGTTCATGAAGCTATCAGAGGATAGCAATGTGTTCATGATTCTTTGATCAGTTTGAAAAGCGTGAACATTTCCTCTGACATTTGGTTCCTTGACCAAGCCCATATTTACCTTTCAGGTTTATACAAAATGTCTATTTGTTGGGCAACCTCCCCCCTCCTCCCCCTATTGTCTTGAGAAACGGCTCCATACTGCAAGGCGTACAGTGTGTGTGGCTTGTGAGTTCTCATGGTTGAGTGGATCGTTTTTCACCACCATTGAACATAACAAACGCCGCATTAAAATGTGTCGAGTCCAAAGGACATATAGATCACTGGTTCTTGGAATTCCAGAATTTAATCACTTTTTTACTCCGTGGGAGAAAAGAAATATTGTTTAAAGGTTACAGGGATGGGAAGATTAACATTTTTCCTTCCCTCTTAGTTTTAAAATCTAGTCTTTTCGTGACTTTCCTTACAAGATCTTTTAATCTTTTAAATTTGTGCAATTTGCTTTTTTAGCTGATTTTTGTTTTAAAAAACCAAAAAAACCTTATTTCCGTTTTCAAAAATAAGTTTCTTCTTTGTGAATTTTATGCCAAACAATTTCCTTTTGATCCTATTCCAAATTACAACATTCTAGTACAAATTTTGGGTGAGGTATTGAGAGAAAAAAGTTGTGCTGTTGTTTTGGCTTCTTTTTTTTCTTTTTTTTGATCACCTTGTATTTGGTGTTGCTCAACTGTGCTAATAAAGCCTGTGTTGTTACCAGAACTTAAAAATCGGGGGGGATAAAGAGACAAGTACTGTTTTTGTAGAGGCTTCATTTTTCCTACATTGTCAAAACCTGATATACAAAGTTTAACTGCTTTTTATTAGAAATAATGATTCTTAAATTTTTGTGGAGGGAATCCCCTCATGTGCTTTGGGAATTTTTTCTTTGTAACTAATGGGCTCTGCTTACTTGGCTGCAAAATGTTTGTTTCTAGATCTGTGTAAGAGGTGTGGGATACTGTAAAAAGTTGCTGTAGATCTGAATAGTGATCTTCTTAGTAGCGAGCTAGAGAGGGTTTTTAGTGCCTATGTAGACTAAAGTCTACTGGAGTAGAGGACTGATAAATTGGTGTTGTTTCCCTCAGGTCGTGTCAAGAGGAAGAACGCCAAGAAGGGCCAGTCCAGTGGTGGCGGAGATGATGATGACGGTGACGAGTAAGCAGTGGACTTTGCAACATGTTGAATGTTGATGTCTGAATAAATTCGTCTTACAGATATCCTGGTCTTTTTCTATTTTTTTGTTACCCTATAGAGATTTTCAATCTCTTGGCTATGTCAGTTTTGTTTTGATAGAAATAGCTTTGTGTTGCAGAGAAATGTTGGATTATGGGGGTCAATATAATTTAAAGATCTAGAATCCTCTTCGGTGGTATTCTTGCAGAGAAGCGTTTGTACTGATATTGAAGTGCGAATGATTTTAGTATGTTGCCAGTGTGGCACAATTCCAGATACAATGGAGATTTTTATGACCAGCCTCATCAAATTCAAGAGGTTTTATGGACCCAAAGTATTGATTCGATTACTTGCATATTGACCCATGAGCATGATGCGAGTGCTCTAGATCAAGTACATTTTAAATGGGGAGGAAATTTTGTCCCTGTAATGCTACAGCAAGCGGTATCCTCATGACTTGCCTCATTACTGTTGGGACAGGAAAGCAGAGCATTAGCATATGGAATAAACATGGCGAATTTTCCCACTTGACACACAGTAAGCTTAAGTTGATGAAAATAAAAGAAAGGCAGGCTGCACCCATTTGACACAGTGTGAGTACCGATAACCCTGAGTTGATGGTATGAACGAATGAAACTGCACCCAGGTAAACATGGTAAACCTGAGTTAAGTATACCATAGAATGGCAAACTGCACCCATATGACTCGGTGTAAGCCCGAGTTGATGACTTGAAACCAAAGAATGGCGAATTGCCCCCACTTGACACACAGTGAGCCTAAGTTGATGGTTTGAAACAAAAGAATTGCGAACTGCACCCACGTGACACGCGCTGGGTGAGCCCATTTGAGTAATCTCGGGTTGAGGGTGTGGCCTACACATTTTTATCTGCCAAACTCTTGGGAGGGGGGAGGCTTGAACTTGATGCACTTTGGTGACACACATGTGGCCTACACATTTTTATCTGCCAAACTCTTGGGAGGGGGGAGGCTTGAACTTGATGCACTTTGGTGACACACATTTTTTAACTGGTGACTGAAACTGAATGTAATCTTGGTCTGTCACCACTTTTGTCTTTTTCAACTTTCTATGGGGTGGGAAGGCTTGTACAGTAGAACAGGACTATAGCGGGACCTTACCGAATTCATTCCTATGGAATTTGCATTCCTTATTAGTTATAGAGTAAATTATACTACAGCAGGAACTCTTCCACTCCCACAGCAGGATTTTTCTTCTAGAACGTAAGTCGTAAGTCCCGCTATAGCCCTGTTCCACTGTACCTGCAACTGGAACAATTAAGGGGATCCACTGGTCAGATCAGTAAAAATTTTGAAAAAAATATCAGTTTTCGGATTTGGGAGTATCTTAATAGTTATCAATATCAAGGATCCATCTTTAGAAGTAGAAGCCTAATTCCTTATCAAACTTAGAAATAGCTGGAAAATGCATTTGAGAGAGGTAGGAAAATCTTCACCAAAAATTATCTCTCTTTGCAGTTCTCTCAGAATTGTTTATCTGACCAGGTTGCAACACTATATTGAGTAGATCTCAGAAAGTTACTGTCAGAATTGTTTCAAATTTGCACACAATCTTTTATACACATTTTTCTATAACCTTACAGTAGCATTTTTCTTTTTATGGTACTCATTTGAAATTTTAGGCCTTTTTATTTTACAAAATCATAAAATATTGGAGACCTGAATGTAGTGCAGGACTGTAAGGCTCACAAGTCAGTACAGAAATTTCAAATTTGGCCCTACTGTAAGGTTATTCTACCTACCAGCAGTAATCGCCATGCCAAATGTTAGGCTTCTATCTTGAAGCATGTTGATGATTGACAAAATGTAAAATTGGTTTTGAAAATGCTGAATCAATCCTTTATTTTTGATGGCTCGAGATTATTATTGCTAAAATCTTGAATTATTTGCTTGGTAACCTTTTTTTGTACTATGTCACCACCTTTGATGCAGAAAAGCAAGCATTAGACCAAAAACTATAGCATTTGGGTGTTGACCATAGCTACACCCCCTTAATGATTCAATGAAACAAGTGAAAATAGTTTAATTACGTGTAGTTTGTATGTTGTTGTAGTGGGTAAAACTAGACTTTTTCTTGTACGAGGTTGTACAGTGGTAACCATGGTACAGTAGAACTCGGATTCAACGAGGTCGCCGGACCTGACCGAAAATCTCGTTGAATCGAGTGTTCGTATAGCAAACATGAGGTTTTGTGTTGATAATTACAGGCACTGAGCAAGTAATGTGTAAAGAGAAGTAATAAGTACATGTAGTGCCTGAAATGCCTACACATGAAAAAAAGACCGATTCGTTCAAAATCAAATGCACGCCCGAGTCATCTCGATTGTTTGGACTAAAAGTTGTTTTGCTGTGTAGAGCCTAGCAGACGGCAACTTATGATTCCATAGACCAGCACACAATTCAATACGTAGATCTTCGTCAAGACTAGCTTATCATTGGAATGATGATCAGTTGCCGGGGGTAAAAAAAGACTGACGCGTTTGTATCTGCGACGTTTAACGCCCGGAACACTAGTGCCCCTCCCCTTTCCGCGACACACACACAGTACAGTACACAGTCACCCGTGTGCAGGCCGCCCATCCAACCCCGAAACGCGCCAGACATGTGCACATGCCAACAACGCATATTAATATTGTGTTGGTATGAAAAAAGGCCGCTGATTGGTCTCATGCAATTGGCTAAGAAAATCATAGCATAGTTCACGATACAGTTGCAATGGATGGTTTCCGGGAATAGATAAAGTTCGTTCTGGGAGAAAAATGAGTGAAGCCACGTTCACCCTGGAAGCGACCTGGTTGAATCCGAGCTCGCTGATTTAAGTGCTCGTTGAATCCGGGTTATTTTTATTGATTATAAAGAAGAAAAAAAAACCGGGGAGGAATTTATCTCCCCTCGCTGAATCCGAGTTCCACTGTATATAACAAATAACAGGGATTTTTTAAATCGCTGTTTTTTCCTACTCTTTGTCTCTATGAAAAGTTATCGGCAATAAGTTCAGGGCCTCATCGGAGCCCAATTGGTTATAGCATAATAATAGTAATAGCAGTGACAAAAGCTCGTTAACAATGGGTAAAATCCCTAAAAAGTAAGAGAGAGTGACGTAGTGATGGAGCAAGCCACGCCACTGCACTGCAAGCACACACGCAACGGGTGAAGCATGGGTAAAAGTTTTCCGGCTTTTGAAAATGAGCTTTCCAACTTTTCCGGTTTGGGACATATTGTCGACTTCATATATATGCATTTCGGAAGTAGTCATTCTCCCCATCCAGTCTCTAGCTCTTTGCATTTGGTTACGTTGCTGGTCTGTCTCAGCTTGCCCTACTGGCCAAAATGAGCGTTGCAAGCCCAGAAATAACTTATAACCCAATTTGATCTATGTCGCAGTAAACACTAGGCCAACGACCTCGATGTTTTTCATCTGGCAAAACCGCTCTGTGATTTGCCCAGGTTTAGCCATATTTTGCAAATTGTGGCTGGTTTTGACATCTTTGGTTCATGTCTGTGGGTCGTTTGATGTGGAGCCTATATTATTCTGTTTGTTAGAACACTCACAAAGACGTGAAAATTCATACACCTATATAGCGAGGGGAAAAATCGGCGACATCGAGGGTAGATCTGATTACAAGCAGACATATAGACGGCTGCAAATTTCGTTTTACCGATGAAGCCGTGGAGAGAGAGAGAGAGAGAGGGGGGGGGGGGGGTAGGAGTGAAGGTCTTGACCTCTCAATAGGCCCACACGAGTAGTGTAGCCTGGGTGTAGGCCAAGGACATGTTTGTTTCATTGTTTCATACGACACAGGAGTGTTCAGCGGTAGATCTAAATCTAGATCGAGCCCGCTCACTTTAGTTGCGGTGTAGTCTATAGTTCAAGTTGTCAGGCTACCGGACCCGTAATTTCAGAATTCTCCGATGATGGCCTGATAGCTGTTTCAATTGCGGCATACACAAACAGTGGCGGTGGGTAGTGAAGGGCTCACGGGCTTGAGCCCCCCTCCCCAAGTCTATCCCAAGGCAAATGAAAATAAGGAAATAAGCAGTTGAAACTGTCTGATCGCCCGCAATAAACACAGAGTGATCAACTTGGCGGCTTGCTCGTTTATCCAATCACTGTTGTCACGGCTTACAACTATAGTAACCTAACAGCCAATCAAATGTCTTTCGGGCTCAGCAATCAACCAGCCCGTTCACACGGTCCCTCCTTAATGAAACCCCTCTTGTACGAAGGTAGAAGGCTGGAAAAAATAACACTGCACAGACGGCTCACGCTCTCCCAGCCCTGAAAATGGGGTTACAGTTTACGATACACTTTCCCCCAGTGACACAGACCTATGCGCCCATTGGGCCTTTGTTAGGCGCGTTCTATTTTCCGCAACAACACGACTTTACACGACCCAATCCACCTCCTAGACGGTATGTGTTTGGAGTGCTGTGTGTTTGTGCCGCTGATATTTAACAGTTATTAATTACATAAAACCATTTTTGATGCAACTTTTTCATCAGATAAAAACTAATTAGAGAAAGTAGGAGGTGAAACGGCTGCGTCCCCACCATCCCGAAGAATTTAACGTAGAACAAAGAGATGGAAGACAAAGGTGACTCTTCTCGTTTGAATGGTTCTCAAAATGCCGTGGCTCGCGCCTCGCCGTGAGTATAGAAAAATCATCACTGTTCTGTTCTTATTGCTTGCTTTTTGGTGGTAAAGAAGTGGAAGAAACCTAAGAAGCCCCACCCAAATCTTGGTCCACCCACCGCCACTGCATACAAATGATCAATATTATTCATAGTAATAGTAGGCCTACTGCTGTCACTTTCAAAACAAGCGTTCTCCAAGTCCAAGTTCTGATAAATCGGGCCCGTCATCAAGACCCGTGAGTAAAACTTTCAGTGGTGCGTTTGCATCCTGTGACATGACGTCGGCGTGCGAGTTTCGCGCGTGTCAGGGACAGTCCGTTGACGGGGTCAATTAAAGTTCATGCACACTGGTTGAAGCGTCTTTCGAGGCTTA